ATAAGTAGGTACCAAAATGAACAAATGAACTCGCGATTGTGTGGTTTTATCTCTGTTTCATTGCAGTTGGGGTAATGTGTAATTTGTACCGAAGGCAATAAAAGTACTAATTAGGCAATGCGTTTCGTACCGCACAACTTTTCTATAATTTATTCAACATGTACCCTGCAGTTGACACCTTCATTATAGATTCAAAACAGTGTTTGGGCGTGTCAACGCAAATTTTACCTTTTTTTTTCATTGTATACATAGTGATAAGCATACTATTTTGGAAATTATGACCCAGGCCACCCCATTAGAAGTAAAATAACAATGAAGTCATAAATTGAAAATGAGTAATAAGGGTTGAACCCAGGAATTATTATTGATGGATGATATATATTTTTTTTGGGAATTTGCTTTTAAGAAGTAATAATAATTAAGTTTATCAAGTGTTTTTATAATTAATGCATATCCTCGAAATTTACAATGGAATGGTAGTTAAATCCATTGCTACCAGTGTAAGTACCCGCTTTGTCATTTTTGACTGAAGTGTCAAATTCAAAAGTATTGAGAAATTGTCAAAAGTTTTTAACTGTCAGTTTCAATCATACAGGAAGCATCAAAAAAGAGTAGCAGAGCAAAGTTATATTTTTCTAAATGGAAGACTATGTATGTATATTGTGCGCTTTTTTATTAGTCCCCTTCAACCAGATTTCAACGATATATGGTTTGATATGTTTATCTCTCGATTTATCTTCAAAAGTGATAAAGATCCTGCGGACGCTGACGTCAGGTAACGGGTGTACGTCAAACCTGAACCAATGACGACGTTTACGTTGTCAGTTGTGCGTCGCGTACTATCCTAACAAACCGTACCTTTAGACTCCATATTAACACCAAATTGTGAAACAATTATCAAAAACTATTCGAAAGTAAATTATTCCGTTCAAGTATCACTACTGTTCGAATCGAAACTGAAACCAAACTTGAAATTTGTTTAGAGCTGGACCTAATCAAAAGTTGCGCGTCGTCTCAGCTGCAGTGGGTTCGCAACGGCAAAATTTAAAGTTGGGCAACGTTGGAATATTTAGCGTTTAGCAGGGTTCGTTTCAGTAGGGTAGTAGCCGCGTAATTCGAATACATTATTATTTCGGCTTGTCGCGCCATCTATCCAATTTTAATAGACCTAGATTATGCCTGCATTCCCATCGGACTTCTAGAGACGGTAGGCTATTATATTCTTTGCTAGCGGTTTCTACCGGATCATAATTCCTCGAAGTCGAAGGATGCGACTCGAAATGCTCGACTCGGCATCATATTCGAAATCAACCACGAAGCTATTATCTTCTTTCGAATAATGTAAACTTGGGATGCGGTCTCAATTTACTGATTTTTGCATTTTTTTGGGAACTTTAACATCCGTTTATTTGGAACAATGATAGACTATCCGACCTGCTGATTTGATTTGTCTTTATTGTTTTTGTTTGGCTGGCTTTGTTGCTGTGTTGTTTTGATGAAAGTATTATTGGAATTGAGCTAAAATTGGTAAAAGTAAAAAGAAAAAGATACTATAGTTAAATATAGAATAATAATGTTACCTATCGTCCAACAAGTACCGCGAAGAACGCGACGCTTGGCTGAAAATCAACGCATTCGATTACAAAGAAGAGTTATTAGGGAAGAGGGAGATCCTTTGGCTCTACCCGAAGCTAATTTTTTTGAGCTATATCGATTGAATAAGCAGCTAAGCAGCGATTTGTGCAATCTTTTGAGACCCCATTTACAGATCTCGAGATACACAGGTTGAGTTACTAAGCGCGTGGTGGTCCATATCTCCTATACTAATGAATATCGAAAAAAAAAAAAACTAAATACAAAACCTGTATTCTACATTCCTAAATTATCTTCCGGCATACAGGGTGGCCCAATAAGTAGTGGTGACCCAAAGTTGGATTTGTTGGAACCACATATGATACCTCCAACGAAATTTTATATATAAATATAAGAAATGAAATAAGTATTTTTTGCTAACAATAACACAAAACTCACAGCTTGACAATCAGTCAAACTAACTAGGGTTAAGGGTTATGTTATCAATTTTGTAAAATTTCTCCATTTTTTTGTGAGACAAGAGCAATGACATTTCAACAAGAGCATGTTGCAATGTTGTCAATGGGCTTATTAGAAATGAATATTCGAATGCGGAAATTTATCCTTGGGATTTCAAGAATTGAGATTTTTGTTCGTATTCGAATCACTCGTTGGAATAATATTCGTATACGACTGAAATCCGTACAATTTCAAGAATTGGCCGACAGGTTAGCACAAGAGTTTCAAGCAGAGAATTAGATATTAATCAGTCCAGCGTCTCCATAAAAATTAAGAAACAATAAGTTCCATCCTTATCATATATGAACAAAGAAGAGTATTTTGCGCTTGGGTGATTAACAAAGTTGAGAACCAGCCATGTTTGTTTGATCTTGTATTATTTTCCGATGAGGCAAGGCAACTTTCCGAAGCTATGCCACTGAAAATCCCCATTTTAGAAAGGCTGTTGACAACCAACACAGGTGGTCCTCAAATGTTTGGGGAGGACTTGTTGGGAGAAATGTGATCAGCCATACCTTTTTGCTATCATCAAAAAGGTAGACGGAGAGAATTATCTTTTATTTTTAACATTGCCACAGTTCTTGGAAGATATACCTTTGGCCACTATGCAGAGATTATGGTGCAGCAAGATAGAACGTCACCCCATTACAGCGTGCTAGTGCGGAATTATTTTAATAATGAAGAGAATGAATTTGGAGGTATCGGTGGATTGGTAGAGGTGCTCAAACTGCTTGGTCACCTAGGTCTCCACATTTAATCAAAATGGACTATTTCTTGTGGGGTTATGTAAAAGAAAAATTGTACCAAACTGCGCCTACAACACGCGAGGATATGAAGAATAAAATAGGAAGGCCATTTGAAAAAATTAATAAAAAATATTTAGTGACTGTTAGTCGTTCTTTCTTGACACGTGAAAGACTATGTTTCCAAGAAAACGGTAGACACTTTGAGCATCTCATTAACTAATTTTAATTATTTGATTTTTTTTCTTGTTTTTTTTCTTACTTTTTGATGTGAAGAATTATACCAAATCGTCGCATTTTTTTCATTTATTCAAACTACTAGTGGACCCGGCGAACTTTTACCTTTTAGTGTTGAGACTTTTGGTCCTTGGGGTGAAGAAACGAAAAAATTAATTATCAAAATTTGTAAAAAAATAAATAATAAAAAGGCTAAATGCTTCGTGACTCAAAGGATTAGCTTGGCCATCCAACGCGGTAATGCCGCAAGCATTCTTGGCATGCTGCCGAAAGATGACGACGTGGAAGAGATTTTTATTTTTTAAAAAATATCAAGTATTTATTTATTTGTATTTATTTATTTGTATTTATTAATTCATTTGTATTTATTCATTAATTTGTTTAAAAATAACGATAACATCCTTTACGAAGCTCATTTAAAAACCTAGAATTAAACCAAAGTGAATGGTGTGATTTAGAAATTAAAAAGATTCAGTAAGTAGTTTGATATGGAGAGCGACGACAAAGAATAACGGCATCAATTTTCGGGAAAATTTGTAAAGCAAAACAACCAGACTAAATTTCGTCGATAGTATTGTGGAACCGAAAACAATCGATCACATTCCCTCTGTACGATATAGTTTCCGTAACGAGCAGACGACAATTATTAACAAATAATCTGAGTCGTCAAAACACATCGTCGTAAAAGCAGGCCCCCATATACATAAAAAAAAAATCCATTTTTAGCTGGTTCTCCTGACGGTCTTGTTGACAAGGACGCTGTAAGTTCTTTCCCAGGATTACTTGGGAAAGAACAGCAATTTGAAAAAAACACACAAATTCGGGGCCTCTTAGAAATGACAAACAGACCATGGTGCGACTTTGTAATTTTTATTAGTCATGACATCAAAATCGAGCGAATATTTCGAAACACGAAGTTTTGGACAGATATGTTTACAAGTTTGAAAGCATTTTATTTCTAATATTTTATGCCTTACGTTCTTCAACCAGAATTCCTAAACATTGCCTTAGAAGAACGAAAGTGGACCAACATAACATAAAAGAAATAACCCGTTTGGAAAATGGCCTTGTAAATGATATTAATAATTTTATCAAAACTGAGTCTAGAGAGTACTCTATTGACTATGGCAATTTTTGATATTCCACAATTTCATATTAGAGAAATATTGATTTCCGATTTTACAACTTTAAATGAAACTAGCACAAACTATAGGAAATCATGGTTAACTGAAATAATAGTTTCAATCGCAATGCATTTAATGAATGATAATAAGGACTTCCAAATCATAGCACAAATTTTGTCTACAAACATATTTTCAAACGAAGAACATACAGATCACTAAAAAAGAAAAACGTATTGATTCGGATAGGATAGCCATGCCGGCAATTGAAAATAATCATCATTTTTGTATTATTTCAATTGATTTTAATAGGAAGACATTTACTTTTTTGACCCTATGGATAGGGAATACCATAAAAACAAATTATACTTGGATAAATTGAAAAAATGTTATCAACCTTTATAATAATTTAAATAAAACAACTATAAATGCAAGGGATCTTCAATTAATTCAGGAGAAACATATAAAAGGCAGATTTTTATAAATGTGGGCCGCTTGTTCTAGATTTTTTTGGAAAATATATAAAAGGTGAATCATTAACACTCTCGCCGCCACGGCCGATTTCGGTCTTAACCGCCCTGGGCCAAGTTTTGTTTTTTCAATATTTTTATTTAATATGTTATGTTTTGTTATTCTATATTATTTATTGATGTTCTTGTTTAATTTTTAGTTGTTTTTGATAGGGTGTACAAAAATGTTACACTGGCGCAGGAAAGAAATTTCTTTCCTGCGCCACGTGTAACATTTTTGTACACCATTTGGACAATGATGAATTCACTTTCTATTGTTTCAGATTTGAATAGTTTAGTTCAGTAGTTCAGTTATCATGGCTAGACCACTGACCCAGAAGGAGATGGAAGAAGAGGTGCAGAAGATCCTAGATGAACAAGATGGTGCAGGCATTGACATGAGTGATGAAGACTTTGACGATTCTGACAAGGACCCAGACTATAGTGATGAACTGTCATCTGAGGATTCAGATAGTGATGAAGACGCTCCTGGACCTTCTAAACGTTGTAAAATAAAAACAGACTCGTCTAGATCTCCATCACCCCAAATACCACCAACGCCAATACCTGGAGTATGTTCGCCTAGATCCGCGTCTCCTCAAATAGCGCCTCCAGCTAATCCTACGCCTCCAGCTAATCCTGCGCCTCCAGCTAATCCTACTGTGACCACTGGCACGGATTTTTCTAAGCTCAAATGGTCGGATCCAGTAGGATTGCACCACCAGTTCGCTTTCACTGGATCAAGTGGAATGGATGTGAATATAAGTGCTCTCTTAGCGATGGCAGACCCAGTCGAATATTTCAGCTTATATTTGACCGAAGATGTGATAAATTTGATGGTTGATCAGACTAATTTATACGCTACTCAACAGCTGATGAAAGGAGATGTTCGTCCACAATCGCGACTGCATAAATGGCATCCCACTTGTTCCGGTGAAATAAAGCGATTCATTGGATTATTAGGATGGATGGGCCTTGTGAAATTACCTAGATTGTGTGATTACTGGAGCACGAATGAACTTTTTTCCATACCATTGCCAAAAAAAGTTATGTCTCGAAATAGATTCGAGCTTTTGTTGCGTTTTTGGCATTTTGCTGATAACGAAGAAGCTGACCCCAATAACCGTTTATCCAAAATTGAAAATATTATAAAAAAATTCATCTGCAATTTTAGGAGCAGTTACACTCCTGCAGAAAAAATATGTATTGACGAGTCTGTTGTTCCTTGGAGAGGACGTCTCTTGTTCCGTCAGTATCTCCCCAAAAAGAGACACCGCTACGGCATAAAACTTTATAAGTTATGCGCCGAAAAATGTTACACTTACAACATGTCAGTTTAGATTGGCAAAGATTCCGATGGTGGAGCTTCTGCAACCGAGTCAGTTGTCATGAAATTAGCTCAGAGCCTACTGAATGAGGGAAGTATTATGTATTTACTTTGATTATGGAAGTACAGTATTTGAATAGCAGATATGATAAGTTTACTGACTATTTAATATGAACTTTATTTTCACATACTCTGACATAATGACATACAACAATTAACTGGTAAAGGTGAACAATATAATTTAGTGCATAGTGGACACTACAAATCCTCCCTGGCAAATTTAAAGATTCAGTTTTTCTGGTTGTTTTCTCGTTCTAATACTTCTTCGCAATGTCTCAGCATTTTCTGGTATCTGATTGGGTTTGGTTTTTGATTGGTAAAAAGTTTCAATGTTTTGATCAGTACTTTCCACCGGAAAAGTCTCTTGGTCTCTCGGTTCTTGATCATCTAAAATCATCTCCGCCGAAGTGGAAACTTCTGGAGTCGAATCGGAAATTATAATTGTGCTTTTACTTTGCTCAGGATCAATATAAGAAAAATGTTGAGTAGATGAAGCACCTACAACATTATCTCTTGTAGTATTTTCGGTGTCCAGAGTTTGCTTTGCCTCTGGAACATAACAAACGTTAGGCTGTGATACTGGACACTCAACTTTAGTTGAAGCAATATGGTTTATATGTCTTCTGATTATTCTGTCTTCCATTTCAATCAAATAAATAAGATTGCTCTCTCTCTTCAAAATTCTACCAAATTTCCATAGACAATTTTTCCTACTATCAAAATGTCTCACTCGAACGCTTTCGCCCACCATAAATTTAGAAGATGCTTGATTTGCCACCTCAATGGGTTTTTGAAATCTAACTAAATCTAATTTAGTTCGTATGTCTCTCCCATACATTAATTGAGAAGGTGACTGATTATTTGAAGTGTGGGGTATTTTTCTGTATTGCATTAAAAAATTTTGAAGTTTCAAATCAAGATCTCCTGGGTCATCTACCATCTTCTTTAGAGTATTCTTCATGGTTCCCACATATCTTTCAACTTGGCCATTTGATGCGGGATGATATGGTGCAGTAAATTTATGTATAATTCCATTGGTTTTTAGGAAATTCTTAAATTCCTGTGATGTAAAAGATCCTCCATTATCACTAACCAAAGTTACAGGTAAGCCAAAACGTGCAAAAACACCTCGTAAAATTGAAATCGTCTTCAAAGTATTCATGGACTTGGTAATAAAAATTTCAGGCCATTTAGAATATGCATCGCAAATTACTAAAAAGTATGTTCCTTGAAACGGTCCCGCAAAATCAATATGTACGCGCTGCCACGGTCCTTTCGGAGTTTCCCAACAATGCGGTGGAATATTAGTTTTGTTGTGTAACATAGATTGACAACTTTGACATTTCTTAGCCAATTCTTCAATATCAAGATCTATTCTTGGCCACCAAACGAAAGAACGTGCAAGTGATTTCATTCTCACTATACCGGTATGTGCTTCATGTAATTCTTTTAATACTCTTTGACGAAGCGTTTTGGGCACAACAATACGTGAATCTTTTACTATAGTACCTTCGTTTAAAGAAAATTCTATATCTTTCCCTTTAAATTCATTTTCTTCAATTTTCTTTCCAGTTTGTAAACTTTTGTAAACATTTCTTAATATTGGGTCTTCTTGTGTTTCATTAGCAATTTCTCTATGCGTAACTGGTAACGTTAGAATTTGTTGTAACTGATGAATTGTAACGCCATCCATTGTTTGATTGAAAACTGGAGTGATTTTTTGAGGCAATCTCGAGAGTGCATCAGCATTTAAGTGTTTTTCGCTAGAACGATAAATAATGTCATAATTAAAGCCTTGCAAAAATTGAGCGTAATGAAGCATTCGAGTAGCTACCATACTGGGAAGATTTTTGTTTGGATTAAATATAGAAACTAGAGGTTGATGATCAGTAATCAGCGTGAATTTTCTTCCATAACAATACTGAAAAAATGTATTACATGCCCAAAAAATAGCAGTTGCTTCCTTATCAATTTGACTGTAGTTTTTTTCAGCTCTCGTTAGACTCCTTGAAGCAAAAACAATAGGACGTTCACCATCAGGAAAAATATGAGATAATACTGCACCCAAACCTTTAGGACTAGCATCGGTTGCCAAAATTAAAGGTAGTTTCGGATTATATGCGCAAAGAATCTGATCAGATGTTATTTCCTTTTTAATTAAATTAAAAGCCTGATCACAGATAGATGTCCATCGGAAAATAACATTCTTTTGTAAAAGTTTGTACAAAGGATGTATTTTTGAAGAAAGATCTTTCAGAAATCTTCCATAGTAAGTGACCAATCCTAACCAACTTTTTAACTCAGTGACATTTGTCGGTACTGGTGCATTCTTGACAGCTTTTATTTTGTCTTCAGTTTTCTCTAAACCCCTGCTTGAAATTTTATGACCCAAATATGTTATGGATTCTTCGAAGAATTTACATTTTTCTTGTTTAATATGAAGACCAGCTTCTTGTAGACATTGTAAAACAGTTCTTACTCTATTCACATTCTCTTGTAATGTAGCTCCTTGTATTTTGATATCATCTAAAAACACACAAACTCCGGGTATTTTATCCAATAGGTTTGAAATGTAACGTTGCCAAATAGCAGGAGCAACTTTGGTTCCAAACATCAATCTATGTACCTTATAATCTCCCTTTTCCGTAGTAATTGCTTGCATTCTTGAACTTTCTTCATCCATTGGCATATGTAAATAAGCTTCGCGAATATCCAAAGTAGTAAAAATTTTCCCTCCGTGCATTGTAGTCGCAAAAATATCTTCTATGTTTGGAATCGGAAATTTATCATTTATTAAAACTTTGTTCAATGTAATTTTGAAATCCGCGCAAAGTCTTACAGAACCGTCACTTTTCATAATTGGTACAACCGGTGTGCCCCATTCACTGTATTCCATTTTAGTTAACACTCCTATTTCTTCTAGTCTATCGATTTCTCTTTCCACTTTTTCCTTCAATGCATAGGGAACTTTTCGAGCAGGAACATAAATTGGTTTTGTATTGTTTGGTAAAAATAATTTAGCTTTATAATTTGAAATTTTTCCAAGACCTGGTTTAAAAACTTCTGGAAAATTATTTTTAAGTTCTTCTATAATTTTTAATTTCAAGAAATCTGGGATATTTTCATTTTGTAATTGACAAATTTCAGGTAAATCGACTTTAATTTTCTGCATCCATTCTCTCCCGAAAATAGGTTCAACTTTCCCTGGTAAAATATATAAATTTAGTAATTCAATTTGATTATTTAATTCAACCTGGAAAGTTGAATAGCCGATAGGTTGAATTATTTCTCCAGTGTAAGTTCTTAAAGGTAAATTTGTTTTTTGCAATGTTTTTTTTGAAAATTTTGCGTTAAACAAATCTTGTGAAATCGATGAAACTGCAGCGCCTGTATCATATTCAAATTTAATGGATTCTCCATCTAATTGAAGATTTAAAAGAATTTTGCCTGGTTTTTTATAAGCCTCAGGTAAGCAATTATTATCTAGTACGTTCATAAAAAATAATTCTTCATGCTGAAAGTTGTTTTCCATTTCCTCTGGTTCTTCTTCCACTTGATGAACATTTTCTCTCCTAGGAGTTCCCCTGCATGCCTTAAACACGTGACCATATTTTAGACATCCTGTACACTTTGAATTTTTGTGCTTGCATGTATTTGCCAAATGTTGTGGATCACCGCATCTGTAGCACTTTCGTTGAAAATTTAACAAATTCGAAGGAGATATGTTTTTTTGTTGTTGTTCAGGTTTAAATGAAAATTTTTTAATTTGATTTTGAAAAGAAGTACTCGCACATGTTTGTAAAGAATGTATTTCTCTGGAATCTTTTTGTGCTAATTCCATAGTTAGTGCTGTATCAACGCAGTTTTTAAATTTATTATCTGGTTCTTTAAGTTGAATTAGTCTTTCAATTAAATTAGAATTTCGCAGACCACTAATGAACTGAAGACGTAAATGGGCATCAGACGTCGAAGCTTTGCAAGCATCACAGACAAACTTACAATTTGTCGTCATCTTTTTTAATTCAGTTACGTAATTTGCAATAGTTTCCCCTTCTTGTTGGACACGTTTTGTAAAACGGTTTTGCTCTGCGATTATACTTGAAGAAGGATCAAGATGGTTTTGTAAACGAGAAACCAAAGTCGTATAATCTTTAGATTTAGGATCATCGGGACATGTTAAAGAGT